AGTACAAATCAGCTCACCCTTTTGTAGTTTCAGCTAAGTTTGTTCTTTACGGTCAAATTGAGTTTAAACAAAACTCAGACATAGCAGTACTTTCAGTTAGCTTCATTAATATTGTTGATATCAGCTGCAAAGTATTAATAAACTCATAAAAAACACCATATAAAACCACCTGTAGTTGAATAAATGTAAAGTAGAGCTGTTTAATGTCACACTGTGGAACATTCCAGGCAGAGCGATGACGTATCCATAGAAACGAGAAGGTGATGGACCACTAATAAAAAATGTACACAGTGCACCTTTAAAGTATGTAGTAACACCAATAGTAGCAGCGGTGTTACAGTATTAGTAACAGTTGTAGTAGAAATAGTACTTTAAAGCGAAATTATAGTAGGACTAGTTTACAGTCAAGTTGTAGTTCCAAAGGCGGAGTAATACAGACACATGCTGACTGCGCTGAGACCGGGCTCGGTGATACGGGGCCACAGGGAACAGTATGACCTATAGGACAATGGAGCGGTCACTATTACGCAGGAAGGAAGCAGGAAGGAGAGAGTGAGAGATTGCAAACGTTAAAGACACTTTGTGACACAGAGGAAAGAGCGGCCTGATTTGTAGTTTTTCAAATGGTTCACGACGTGGAGAATAGTGCTGATGTTACAGTCGTAGTGGTCAATTTATGAAGGGGAAGAAGAAAATGATGAGTTTTACACGCAACTCGCTCTTGGAATATAATCAATGGATCAGGAGTCTATATCATATATATATATATATATATATATATATATATAATATATATATATATATATATATATATATAAATATGTATATGTATATAATATAATATATTAGCAAAATGTATGTACAAATCTGTATCAAAATCATATTATATATAAATATACAAAAAATAAATAAAAACAGGTAGGAAAAACAACAAATGATGCAAAACTTTAGTACAAATCTGTTTAAAAAATATCATATTATATATACATATACAACAATATACATAAAAACAGGTAGGAAAAATTCAACAAATAAAGCTACATTTTTTGAGAAATCTGTTTGAAAATCATATTATATATAAAAAATATCATATTATTTATACATATACAAAAAAAAAAAAACAGGTAGGAAAAATACAACAGATAAAGCAAAATTTTTCATACTAATCTGCATCAAAATCACTACATTTGAAGCTTTATTCTATCTCAAAATAAGCACAAAATACTTTAAGTACATCTTTAAACAGCACTTAAATACTTACGTGATTTATTTATTTATTTTTTTGGTATCTTAACTTTGGTATCTGTACTTTTACTTAAATAACAAAACTGAGTACTTCTTCCACCTTTGCTCCACTCAGAGATCCCAGGAGTCTAACCCACAACCTCTTTCCCGGGACACAGGATAACCACTCTGCCACTCTGCCACAGTGACACTTACAAGAACAGAGTTTGTATTAATAAAAACAGCTGAAAATAAATATGATTTTATTCGACATTTTATTAATCTTCCATAGCACATACCTGTAGGCCCCATTAAGCAACCATCTGCCAATGTGTCTTTATTACACATTACTTCTCCAGGATACACCGAGGCTCTTCTCAAAATCCAAAAACACACACACACACACACACGCACACACACTTCACCTGCTCCTGCCTGCGAGCAAAAAGAAGTTCCACGCTTTTATCTCTCCCTCCCTGAAGGCATGGCGTGAAAATATCTGAAATTGCTTACGAAAAATACCTCAATTGCGTTTTGTGTACTTGTACTCCGAAATCGGAAATTGCTAGTTTCTGAAAAAGTTTCCGCCTGTGAAGCGCGTAGTTAATTTTCTAAAACTGGAAATACGAGATTATAAGGAGTTTTGACGCTTTGTTTTGTGTTGTCTTTTGGTCTCCCTATGACATCTTGTGCTCTCGTCTCCCACGCTACGCCGCTAACGATGCGCCGGAGCTTGTGTATGAAAAAAAATAAAAACAACATCCAGGAACCGGTTTTGTTTCGGGTTTTGGCACGGAAAGAAGTGCGTCCTAATTAGGAGATAGCGCCCTCTGAAGGTGGATGAAAGAGGGATTTTTTTCGCTTGTACCGCGGGAGTATGCCGCCTCTGATTACGGAGCGTTGTGGGTTCTGGAGCGGGAAGAGCGCCGGCGTGTAAACAGTTTGTGTCTGTTTGGATTTGTGCGTCTGTGATCCCGATGCTTGCTCCTGACTGGTGCATTTACATAAGAACACAGAGGCAGGTGCAGCGCCGTCGGCACGTTAAGTTGTTTGTTAGTTTAAGGGCATAAGTTAAAAGGACATTTTTTTGTTTTCATTTAGGTTTAAAGGTTCAGAAATAAGAATGTAACAATAACCAAAATACCATGATATCGTATCATCAAAGTTCATCATCACAATATATCGAATTACAAGTTTCTCTGCATAAATTAAGAGTGGTGCAGCAATTGCTAAAAAAGATAGAGGGAACTACATAGACCATGATCCTTTGCTCCATTTCAGTGCAGATGACAAGAAGAAATAACAGTTCTAAACACTTTTAAGGCTTCATTCTTTGGATTAAGTCTTGTCGAGGCATTTTAAGAGGAAAAAGTTATATAGTAGCCTCCACAAAATATCATATTGTGAAATGTATATCGTGAAAATATCGTACCGAGAGATTTGGATACTGTTACATCGCTAATCATGAGCTTCCCTGGCCAGGCTGGTGCCACCTAGTGCCTGCGCTCAATTTCATTTCTCTCCAGCGACTAGGTCAGGAATACTAGACTGTTCACAAAAACCACAAAAGTGTGAGTTCAGGCACCAGCAAATCAGCAAAGAGCCAAATATTCAGTGTTGGCAACGATTCCCGAGATTGAGGATTTAAAGGCGGAACAAAGAGAATGTTTGGTGAATTTTATCACAGGGTAAGACGTTATTGTCCTTCTTCCTACAGGATTTGGGAAAAGCTTAATATACCAGTTAGCCCCGTTAGCGGCGCATTACATATGTCATGACCAAATAGCAGCGATTGGTTAAATGATAAAATGTATCCGTCTACCATTGAGTGAACAAATTCTAACACTGTGAGGTCAGACGGTTTCTACGAAGTGAAACCGGCTGATGAATCAGGCTAGAGCCTCCCCACCTTCTTCATGATATCGTAATAAATATCGTACAGTGAGATGTATATCGTGAAAATATCATACCAAGAGATTTGGATATTGTTACATCCTTAATCGTGAGCTTCCCCACCATATTGCAATAAATATCGTACCATGAAGTTCATACCGTGATGATATCATTTCGTGAGACTTGGATATTGTTACACCCCTATTTGGTAATATGCACTGTACAGGCATTTTAAAGGTCTTTAAGCAAAATCAACTTTTGTGAGCTTTAAATCATGTTATAATGTTATCTCATCAAAAACAGCCCTGAAGTTGTGTTTTGTTTCATTTTATATCTGTACATATTTACACATGTTTGAGTTCCACTTCAAGCTCAAAATGCTCTTCATGTTAACAGCCCTTTTAACCTTCAGTAGAGATCGGCAATTCTACGGCAGAAATCATCCAAATGATTGCAGTGAAGGTGTATGGAGTTTAAAAACACAATGGAGCACTTTTTGTCTTCAGTTTGAGATTAGAACTCAGCCTAAATACACAGGGTTTGTCTGTTAAACATGTGTGGAGGAAACAAAACACAACTCCAAGTCTATTTGTGATGAGAAATGAGGAACAAGTTGTATTGTACTTGAAACAGGAAAATACACCTAGTTACACTGAAGATAAGAAAAACAACGACCCTTTGCACTTAAAATAAGAAACTAAATCATATGTTGTTTGAATTAAGAAAATTAAACTTACTCCATTGGTAGATCATTTTACTTGTCAAGTGAAATCTACTCAAATCAAGTTCAAAAATGTTTTTTGAGTAATGCTGGGAGTACACTGTGCGATATTTTCGATCATTTCACTCAGCCCCAGCTCAAACTCACTAGAGGTTTGCAAAAATGTCAAAATATCGATATATCGTATAGTTTAAAGTGATGATACAGTATTGATATCATGGGCTGCTGCATCGATATATCACCAAGAGTATTTTTTGGTATATTTTACTAAATTATTTTGTGACAGTGCTACAGTTTTGCTGGAAGGAAACTTGTTTATATGACACATTTGACATTTTCTCTGTTTTGATGATTAAAATGTTTACGTTTCATATGAACTTTGCACAAGAAGGGGTTTAACAAAAACTTTTAGTATCACAGACATGATTTAACCATTATTATTTTATTGAACTGGATCTTATCATGGCCTATGCATTAAAGTATGTATCGATTCACCAACTTCTGAATGATACCCAGCCCTAGTTCTCACACTACACAAACTACTTCAACAGTGCGAAACCCTCGAGATGTGACAAAATTTCAAGCAGATTTGATTTTCTTGCGACCTGCGATTGCCGATCAGGAGCTGGTCGTGAGGTATTAATCGGTTCTCGTTACCCCATGTTTACTACGCGAAACACGACACACGATTAAGCCAAAACTCAACCCGGTCCCAAAAACAGTCGAGCGAAAAATCGACTCAAAAAGGGCCAAAAATCGTTTAGATTTTTTGCAGTGTAAAGAAAATATGGCTCTAATACAAGTATACTTTTCCGAACATGTTTGTAGAGCTCTAAACTTGAGGTACAACAAGATTATTCTGTCAAAATAAGACTGGATATACTGTTCTTTGCAGAGGAGTATATCATTTTGAGTTTGATGAAGATTTATGGACTTTAAAAACATGGACGGACATCTACTTATGACACAAGAGTCAGTTTTGTGTAATATAAACCCTTTAAATATTGTGTTTTTTGTCACAGAATTTAAAAAAAATCATATCCTGTGACATTTCCTTCTTTATCTGTGGACGAGTAAGGCTGTTGACTTTTGCTCCTGGCCTGTTTGCTCTCTCCGGTCACATAGCTCACCTCTCCATCTCCGTCTCGCTCTTTTCTTGCAGGTGCCAGTGATGATGGTGGAATCAGCTTCGGAGACCCTTCGAACAACGCCGTCCAATCAGAATGGAGTCAGCAGCCTCACCAGCCAATCAGACGGCGGGGGAGGCAGAGAGGGCGGGTCCAACGGAGACGCCAACGGAGAGATCAGCCCAGTAGACTTACTACACCTGCAGCAGCAACAGGTGTGTGTGTGTGTGTGTGTGTGTATGAATGGGAGCATGATACACAGCAGGATAACGTTCAGATTTGGTTGAAATACAAAATTGAATCCTTATGCTTTTCTTTAGCTCAAATAACTACACACATTCTGAATGTTTTTGTTGAATTATTTGCCTTTTATCATACAACAATTTTAGTCCATTCAATTCAGTGATTTTTTTGTAGAGCCCAAAATCACAACAGCAGTCACCTCACTGTGTTTCACTAAATTAGACTGAGCGTTAGAAAGTGTAACAGTGGAACATCAGCATCTGTATCTGTTATGTTTTAATTATGTTTTAACTGCATTTTAGATTCATGTTTTAAAGCTCAGTTAAACCTTTTGCTTTCTATTCTATTAATGTGTTCCATATGCTGATGTGATCTGTGAGAATTTTGACTGAAACACACTGAGCATTCATTACATACAAGACATACAATTCACCAGCCACTTTATTCACACAAATGAAATCAAACACAAATGTTTTACCTTCGTTAGAGAAGGAGAAATTCAGTTCTGTCCAAAAAAAACAAAACAAAACAAACAAATGTAAAAATGTTTATCAAGTTGACAGAACTGAATTTTTCTTTTGCAGTAGATCCTACCTGGACGACTATAAATGCACAAACTTTCCTGTCCTTTGTAATGTTGGTGTCATTTTTTTCCAGTGTATTTTTGTCACAGCAATCATAGAAACTGCAGTGATGTTTCTGAAATATTAGTCTGCATAATTCTTCCTCAGGGCAACTGTGGCTTCAACAGTATTTTAACACCACCCAGTGTAAAGTGAACGAATATTCCACTGTAAAACACTTTGGGTGTCTTGAAAAGCTTTTTATAAATCCAATGATTCGTTCATGAATTGAGCAGGCTCCTTTTTGAACCACTGTTGACTTAGTTTCACATTTTACTATGTCAAATGGAATCTCGTACTTTACATTTGTGCACATGTGATTTCTGTTAACAAAGTTGGTCCAACAATATTAATATAATTTTCTCACCTCCCCACATCTGTGCACATCTGTCTGCTTAGTTTCCATTTGTGCAATATCTTGTTTACCATTTTATAACTTTACAGATTTTTCAACAACCACACAAAAATAATTTATTGAAACTTTTTTTTTTTTTTTTTTACATGAATCCTTTTCAAATACATTTGAACTCTACCCACATCCACCCACATCGTATTTACTTGTGTGTACTTTGTACTTTGTGACACTTTTGACTGTGATACATTACATGAGGAAGTATTCAAGTCTGTGTATTTCTCACAGTCTGTACACAGTGACTTATATAAGACAAAAATGGTTGAACCGGTCACCTCGTGTGTTTTTGTGTGAGCTGCTGCACACGTGAGACTCAATGCTCGATGACAGTGTTGGCTTGTTCTACTTTAATTAATGCTTCGTAATCTGGCATTTGTGTCAACTGTTCCAATGCGCACGCCTCATATCAGACAGAATACAAGAAAACTTAATTACGGCTACAAGCTCCAGCAATCTCTAAGTATGTTTACATGCAAATGAGAGAACTGGTTTCAAGTGATTTAAAAAAAAACAAAAAAAAACACACACACACACATCTTTAAAAAGCAGGCACAGACAGCAGGATAAGGCTTTTCTACTATTTTTACAATATTTTTTGAGACCAATAACCCTGTTCACATCCACAAGTAATGAACCAAAAGTAAATATTATGACTGGAACTACTGACAGAGAGCTGACTGTTCAATCCAGCTTTAGCCTGTGCATGTACTCTTGAGCAAGACACTTCACACTCCTTGTCTATGTAAGAATGAAGTGTGTGAATGTATGATTGTCGGTGGTCACTGAAGTTGTTGGTGCAGATTTGGAGTCATGTCTGTTATTCAGGAGCAAGGCAGCTGTGGCTACAGATGGAACTTAAAGTAAACTCTATTTCTTTGTCATAAGATATACGCATCATTTAAAATAAATAAATAAATAATAATAATAAAAAATAAAAAAAAGATCTGCACTTTGATAAAAAGATGGAGTATACCTTAAAGCAGACATGTCAGAACTTATTTGGCCAGTGAGATCATATCAAATGTGTATTAGAGCTGCCCACCGGCTACAGATAGACTATAGAGACATTATTTATTTAAAATGTTGTTATTATTTTCTATTCTGCTTGTTCTGGATTCAATGTTTAAGCAAAACTATTATTAAACATTTATTTAATAAGAAAAGGTTTAACAGTACATGTCTCAAAAGAAGAGAAAACATGCAGATGTTCTTGAAATTTTTCAATAAATATTTAGTTTGGCCCACGACTTAGTCCCAGTTTTTTGGCTCTGTGAATTTGAGTTTGACACCCCTGTCTTAAAGCCACAGCATTTTTTTTTTTTTTTTACTTTTTTTTTTTGGCCAAAAAACAGACACAATTTTAAGTGTTTTGTGTGTGTGTGTGTGTGTGTGTGTGTATAAAAACATGTGTCCCCACATCTCCACAAACCTGACTCTTATTTCAACTGGAAAAGCGGCTCTTCCTGCCTGCTTCCATGGAAATGTTGATCTTTTCGCCATAATCCCCCTCAGTATGCCATAAAACCTGTATATCTCCATGGAGAATGTCCCGAAGTTTGATTTTAACTTCCTACTTCCATTGTCTCATTCAGACGACATGCCACCTCCACAAAGTTACACACTAAACCTTTAAACAATAGCAGAGTTTCCTCACACCTGGAAATGCTTGCTTAGCCACGATCTGCACTTTTGTTTATTTTCCTCCATTCTTGTATGTTCTTTTTGACATCTCTCTCTCTCTGCTCCTGTGTGCCGTCCACTCCTCACCCTGCCCCCATGTGTCCACTCATTCACACTTCAGCGTTCGGAAAAAAAACACTGGAATTCTCAAACTTCCAGTAATTCCCTGGAACGAAACGCGTGTGTATTTTTCATCTGTGCCTGGACTCCTAAACGTGCCTCTGATTGGTCTCAAAAGAACAGCGGGACATAAGAGCACAAGGCCCAGACACAAGCGCCTTTTGATTCAGGGGTCGCGACCTCCGGCGATCGGCCAATGAGGAGCGAGATTGTCCCCCGAGTGTCCTCAGCCACGGAAAGTGAATCACGGAGTTAGTCAGAGCTCGGATATGTGCAGCTCATGGACACAAAGGCAGAGACACTGGTGGGACTATAATGGAGGTTTAACTAGACTCTTAGATTCTTAAGGTCTTTTCTTTAGATACACACGAGCGGACGAAAGCTTCGACACACTTTTATGACTTTTTACGTTGTAGATTCTCACTGAAAGGAATGGAAAGAAATGTAGTAAACAACAAATAAACTCAAAACTAAACTTGTTTTAGATTTTAGAATTGCAAAGATGCTACTTTTTCCTTTAAAAATGCCTTGACAAGATTTTGGTCCTGTCGTAAAGCAAAGGTTCAGGTGCTTAAGAAGTGATTTCATTGTGTAAACTGGACTGAAACAGAGCAAAGGATCATGGTCTTTGTAGTTCCCTCTGTTTCTTTTATCTATTGCTGCACCATAACAATAAATTTTAGCAGCGAAACTTGAGATTCGATATATTGTTACAGCCCACGATATTATTGAGAGACATTTTACAATACGATATCACGATATTTTGGTTATTGTTACATCCCTAGTTTTAAGAATCCGATATTAACCGATATCAGTGCAGAGAAATTAAATAAGAGAAAACAGATCCAAGTGTGTTATGTAGATGTTTTTAATCTCTTAAGTTACTACAGAACAACTTTGCGAATCAAAATTTAAACATTATGTAACTTTGTGGACAACCAGGACATTGGCTGCGCTGATATTTGGAAGCTGATATCTGACGAAGTACATTTTCTTGTATCGGTGCTGATATTCGATACCAGTATTAGATCAATACATCCGTATATTATTATTTTAATTTTATTATTATTATTATTATTATTATTATTATTTTATTTATTTATTATTTATTTTTTTATTTATTTTTTATTTTTATTTTTTTTTTATATTATTATTTTTTTAATAGCCTTTCCTTTTTCTTTAATACATAATTCCACAAAAAACTGGAGGGTTAAAATTTTGGGGTAAAGTATTTTAGTTAATTATAGTTGTTTTTATCACAAAAATTGTTATTTTAACTATCTCAAAGTTAAATTGGGGTTCGATTTAGGGTCGATATGATTGAAGTTAATTCAACTTCCTCTAGTGTTATTTCAACTTCCTTTAGTGTTAATTTGGCTTCTCCCACCCACCACTTCAAGACCAATTTAAACGAGTTTTATACATAATTTCATCTTAAATTAACTAAAATAAAGTGTAAACATAAAAGACCTCTTTGTGCTGTTTAGTTACAACGTGAATATAACTCTTGAGTTCGGGGAGAAACAGGAACTTTGGTCCAGTGTTACTTAATTAACATTCCCAAAAGTGTTCATTTCAGTCTGGAACAGATTGGACTCATATTAAACCCAGAGAAAATGTTCAAATTGATTCTGTGAGAGTCAATTTTAACACTCCACTTTTTTTCTGTGTACAAGTAATAAACAAAGAAAAAAGGGTGTGTCCAAATTCAATTCAATGCTGTGATCCAAGTGAGAAAAAAAACAACATACTATTATCTGCAATCCCCACGACCACACAACGAGGATTTAAATTATGAACTCATCGCAGTCAAATCAACTCAGCTTTGCCTTTCCCCAAAAAAAACAAAAATACAAAAACATGAAAATGAAAATAGAAAATGTCAGAACATGTGTTTGCTCCAAATTCCCCTGAATCTGTGAATGTGAGTTTCCTCTGTGCAGCTCAAATCACTGTAATTATCCAAACTATTAGACTTACTCACTCAAGACTCGATCTGGACAACTGCCTCTATACTCCTCCTCCTCTTCCTCTGCTCTACTCCTCCTCCTCTTCCTCTCCTCCACACCCTCTCCTCCTCTCATCCTCCTCTGCTCCTCCTCCTCTTCCTCTCCTCCTCTCGTCCGTCTAATCTCCT